AATAAAAAAGAAGGCGCTGTTTTGCTCTGTGCCAGCTGTTTCTCAGACTTTTTCTCACAGGGGACCAAAGCAGCTGCCATTAACCCTTGGTCTGTGCGCGCGCGTACACACACACACACACACACACACACACACACACACACACACACACACACACACACACACGAGGCCACAGCTCCCACTGGGTATAGCACACCTCCCACAGTGGCCTGTCATTATCAAACACGCCCATTCTTTTTAGTAAACAGAGGCATTAGTGTGCTAGGTGTGGTGCTCACCATCCAGTCATCAGGATTGCAGGATCGCATTTCATCTTTACAGACCAAGAAAAGGGCTTATCTTCACAGCACCCAAGTTCAGTCCCGGCTCACACAATTGCAAAATGATGCTGTCAGGATGTGGTCTCCCATCTGCCCCGTTTCGAGCCAGTGGGCTCTGACAAGCACGCCACTGACTCGATGATACTGGAGTTCCTATGGCTTTTACAAGTAATGTATCTGCTCGTGAGATTTCTGAGTTGCCGGAGGTCAAGGTGGCCGTGTGTTAACCATCATCCTGCTCTCCATGCCTAGCAGAGTACCTAATACATGACCATGTTTTTTTTTTAAAAAAATGGGTATGAGGGTCAGCAATGATGCCAAGCTTGATGGACCACATGATGCCAAGCTTGATGGACCCACATGATGGAAGGAGAGGGAGGACTCTGACCTTTTATTTCAAGCTGTGGCTTGCACATGTACACATACACAAACACATAACATTTAACTTAAAAATGAGCATGAGGGCAAGCAATGCAGCACACATCTTTAATGCCAGCACTTGGGAGCCAGAGGCACGGAGGCCTCTGTGATTATGCGGCCAGCCTGGTCTACAGAGTGAGTAAAAAAGGCGGTGGAGTATAAAATGAAGGTTTGAAAGAATACACCAGCCCCAGAGAGTGGAGAACAGAATGAGTACTTTACTGTATGCTTATGTTATAAATGGGCATTTCTGGGGGTACAAAGATGCAAACTCCACCCCTTTGATTAATTAAGGGGCCTGGTCCACACCAGGCTGTCACTAACTGGCCGTGATTCCCTTTTGGTAAATTGTGACGGCTGTTTAATCTTCCTCCAGGGGAATACAGACTAGACCCTATCTGGGAGAACTCAGGAAGGCAGCAAAGTTTTGGGAGCTCACTGAAAAAGACTGTATGCTGTAATAGCCACTGCCTCACTGACACACACAGGCACGATCCTCCCAGCCCCTCTCGGGTTTCATCTTGCGCCATCCTGGACTATCAAGTCTGCACATGTATCATCCCCCTTCCACAGCCTCAGGGACTTTGCACATGCTGTTACTATACCTGGAATTCTCTTCCTGTTTGCCTGGGGAGTGTCTGCCCATCTTGCAGCTCTTGGTTTAGTTCTCTAGGAAGCCTCCCTGATTCCTCCACCCTGACCTATGTGCCAGTATCTCAACATTCTGCATTATAGCACCAGTCTTCCCAGTGATTACTTAGGGTCTGTGTCCCCTACTAGAATGTAAGCAAGGCTTACACTGTTATCTCCCATGGCTGGCAAAGGTGCGTGGTGTGCTCATGATGAATTTGTATGTGTGAGGTGCCAGGATTAAATCCAGGGCCTTGTGCATGCTGGGAAAGTGCTCTATCACTGGGCTATAGCTCCAGTCCTCTTTTTACTTTTCGTTGTGAGATGAGGTCTCACTAAAGTTGCCCATGATGAACCTGAACTCACTCTGTAGCCTAAGCCTTCGGCTTGCCATCCTCCTGCCTAGCCTCCCCAGTAGATGGGGTTACAGATCCTTTTTGTTTGTTTTAAGCATTACTTGGCTGAGAACCCAGGGGTCCTCCTTAACAGGGCTGGTTAATGTGCACTGTGCATTTGATAGACTCTTCTGGAAGGCCACCCATTTTAACCCGGATGCATGAGTCTGGCATCTTAGTTGACTTTATGCACTCTGTTCTCCAGAACATCAGAGTTACTAGCTACGATCATTCTCCTGGAGGCTTAAGTGATTAACCTTCTTGCACTGTGCACTACCAGAATCACACCGTCTTAAAGGCAAGAAAGCTAGAGGCATTACCCTAGCAAGAGGCTTACAAATCAGGGACACAGAAGACACCATGGGTCATTATCCAGAGTGTGTGACAAGGCTTCCATCTTTGGCCTCATACCACACAGTCTCAATTCTAAGCATTCTCTTGGCACCTTTTGGGTAAAACTGTTTTAAGTGTTTATGTATAGTCTTGATTCAGAATTTCGTCTGGAGGGGGTGTTTCTATTTCTGTTTAAAAGGTCTGTTCAGAAGTTCCAAAAATACCCTGTATCAGTCTTTTCCAATGCTGAGATCATTTCTGGCAGACAGATTACAGTGTAATTCAGCTGCCTCCTGATATGCTGGTCTTAAGAATGATAGGACACAACACAAATCCTAAAGGCTAGTTTATCTTGTAACTCTTTCCTACACACATGATAAATGGCTCCTATATAAACAGAACATGTTGAGACAGAGGAGCTGACCATATTAAAATCGGCCACTCTGAATTTCATGTTAATTAATTCATAATAATTTTGTTGAGTAAGCACAGGTGTTATAAAGCTGGGCATGGTGGTATACTCCTGTCACCCCAGCACTTGAGAAACTGAGGCAGGAGGATCACAAGTTTGAGCCAGCCTGGAGTACATAGGTATCATAGATATTTCAAGCCTATGAACTAAAATTACATTTAGCTATAAAAGAATGCAGTCTTTCAAATCCTGTTCTACCCTAAGTTTTCCTCCGGAGCGTCTAATGGATGTTTCCTGTCATCAGGCAAGTGGAGCGGTCATGAGCCTGGTACACAGAACAGGAAAAAATTTAGTATCTGAATTCTCAGCCTGGAACCTGGGGCCTCTCCAAGGGCATTCTGGGTTTCCCAACTGGCAAGTGCTGGTTCAGAATCAGCTCTATGTTCTCAGTCTTGCTGGATTCAACCAGTCTGAAGAGAAAGCCAGTATTTACAGAGTGTAGCCAGACTCGCTCAGTTTCTTTTCAGCACCCTCAATACAAGGGTGAGCCTTTCCTCTCATGAAAATCATCTCTCAAGAAACCCTGAAGCCTCTAACAAAGGGGCATTGACCCAGCACAATACAACCTTGATATCTGCTTAAGAGAATACTTTCCCGAGAAATTAACTTGCCAGGTTACATTTAAAGTTCCTTGTTAGCCAGGCAGTGGTAGCACACCCCTTTGATCCCAGTACTTGGGAAGCAAAAGCAGTTGAATCTCACAGAATCAAGGCCAGCCTGGTCTACAGAGCTAGTTCCAGGACAGCCAAGGCTACACAAAGAAATCGTTTTGAAAAACCAAAAAATACATAATAAAGTTCTTTGTTTTAGTCCTGTATTGTAAAAGGAAACCAAAAAATTATTTTTATTATTAAAAATATCTTTATTGAATGAAACTGATCAGTTCTAGTAGAAGGGGCAGAAGCAAATAGTGTAATCTTTTTTTAATTAAAATTTTTTAAAGTTAAAATGGAATTATATTTCAATATAATATATTTTTATTATCTATATAGTCTTCAATATATTTTTAAAAATCCATACAAAACTTAATCTTCCAGCAAGCGCTGTCTTGTGTAAGTGAACTGCCTACTACAGAGCCAGACAAGATGCAGCTGTCGACCGAGGACAGACTGGCCTTAACTGCCAGCAAGGTGATAGTGTCCCATTACAAACATTTTATACCATCTTATCTCATGCCCATCAACACAACAAAGTCCAGTGCTAAAACCCTAAGAGAAGACAAGACTACGTCACACATAGGGAGCTGACTGAGAAGTTACAATGTGAATACACACCAGCGAAAGCAGCATCATACATTCGGGGTTCTTGAACACTGCCCGGTTTAAAAAGCTTCTCTGCTTAATTAAACCGTGTCTGCATCCTGACAGAGGTTTTTTGTTTTTTTCCTTTTAGCATAGTTCCAAACAGGTGTGTAGAATACGACCTCATTTCTTTGGTATAAAAAATATTTTTTTTTACACAAAAATGGTTCATCAAAAACAAAATACAGTTGCTTTAAGAAGTAAACTTTGAGATTCTGCTCGCCTTTGTACTAAATGCTGCTTATGTGGGAATCACAATCTCCTTTGTCTTTACATGAAGTATGGTATCCGCTTTCTGCCTTCCAAACAGAGTCCTGCTTCTGAAAGAGAACAGAAGTAGTTAACAAAATGAAAGGGTTAGTGCTGCACGGCACGCTAAGAGTTCCTGGCCTCTGAGACCCTGACTACACATCCTGGCTCTCCTCACTGTACTGTATACGGGGTGGGGGGGGGAGGCAGGGGGTGCTCAGATGTCCTGCCTTCCTACTGGAAAGGCCCCTGCGCTCAGTGGGCGGCACCTGTGGCACCTCTGCCGCAGTCCAGAGAGCTGCACTTGGAATGAAGGTCTGACAGAAGCAAACAGAATCCAACAAAGTACTTCCTGGGTGGCAGGCTCACAAAGCTCGAAGTCACATGATTCTTTCTAGGCAGACAGAAGTGATCCTCAAATGTAAATTTAGATGCCTTTTGAAAAATTCTATTTTCTGGGTCAGGGTCTCACCAGTGTAGCCCAGGCTCACCTCCAACGCCTCATCTTTCTGCTTCCGTCTTCCCAACTTCCAGAGTGCTAGGATTCCCACTGTGTATTCTACCATATCTGGCCTTGAGTTCTCCCACCCCACCCCTTTTTCCTTTTGAGGCAGGTCTTAGGTTTATCTAATGCCTTGAACTTGTAATTCTGCCTGCATCAGACTCCCCACAGGGATTACAGATTGTGCCTGCTTTTTTGTTTTGTTTTGGTTTGGTTTTTAAGACAGAGTTTCTCTGTGTAGCCCTGACTGTCCCGGAACTCACTCTGTAGACCAGGCTGGCCTCAAACTCATAGAGATCCGCCTGCCTCTGCCTCTCGAGTGCTGGATTAAAGGTGTGCACCAGCACCAGCACCTGGCTAAGATTCCAATCTTTAAAGTTGGATTTATACACCAACTTCCTTAGATATAAAAGTATCAGTATTGAGAACAAAAAATCTTTTCTCTTACAAGTAATTGGCATTCTACTCAGGTTAATTATAGTAAAGGTAGATCAGGCAGAAGAGGAAGAATTACTGGTCAGATGAATGTGTGGCCTTGACTCTACATTATCAACGGTCCTAGTTACTTATTAATATCAACTTCAATATAAAGTGAGACAAGCAAAGGTGACCTACACATGGCCACAGTGAATGTCCAAGTTGACTTTGTCTCCTTCAATGACTGACAAGGGTGTTTTTGTCATCTGGCTCTTCTGAGACTTCTAATTTCTAGAAAACAACTCCAAAATTAGTATCCAGGTTACAGACATTAAAAATACTTTAGACAACCAGACACGCGTATAGCAGGAATGCCTTCCAAAGATCTTGAGGGACTGGTGGACAGAAGTACAGGAGGAGCAAGCCTGACGACCTCAACAGGGTACCTGAGACTCACATTAGGAGAGGACCAACTCCCTGACCGCTCCACACATGCCACAGTGCTAGCGCTCTCTCTCTCTCTTTCTCTCTCATTCTCTCTCACACACACACTAATGTCCTTGTCTTTGGGGGACACTTTCACTGTGTGGTTCTCAGCTGGGCTAGCCTAAATTCAGACTCTCCAGTCTGGGTCTCCGTGTGTCTGGGACTATAGGCACTTAGCACTTAGCACTGTGCTTGGCTCACAGAGCCTTTCTGTTGTTGTCTTTCTCTGCTTGTTTGTATGGTGATGTGCGTGTGTGTGTGCGCGCGCGTGTGTGTGTGTGTGTGTGTGTGTGTGTGTGTGTGTATGCGTGTGTGTAAGCACACATCATGGCGTGGGTACGGCGGTCAGAAGACAACTCCTGAGAGCTGGTGCTCCCCTGCCACTGGTGGGTCTAGGGATACAGAACCCTTGCCGGCAAGAGCCGTTCGTTACCAGCTGAGCCAGCTCACCAGCTCATCATTGTTGTTGTTGTTGACATTTTTTGTGGTTGTTTGTTTAGATTTTGTTTTTCGAGACAGGGTTTCTCTGTATAGCTCTGGCTGTCCTGGATCTCGCTCTGTAGACCAGGCTGTCCTCGAACTCACAGAGATCTGCCTGGCTCTGCCTCTCAAGTGCTAGTATCAAAGGTGTGTGCCACCACTGCATGGCTTTTTTTTTTTTTTTTTAAATAGGGTCTCTCTATGTAGCCCTAGCTGTCCTGGAATGCTATATAGACTGGGCTGGTCTCCAACTCACAGAGATCCTCCTGCTTCTGCCTCCAAAGTACTGGGATTCAAGATGTGCATTAATTTTTCTTTATTTTATTGTTTGTTTGCATGTTTGTTTTGGGACAGGGTCTTGTTATGCAGCCTTGGCTGGCCTGGAACTTGCTATGTAGACCAGCTTGTACAGATATGTATAGAATACATACAAACAAAACACTCATACATATAAAATAACAATAAATATATCTTTTAAAAAATACAAGTGTGGCTGGGCGGCGCACGCCTTTAATCCCAGCACTTGGGAGGCAGAGGCAGGCGGATCTCTCTGAATTTGAGGCCAGCCTGGTCTAGAGTGAGTTCCAGGACACAGAGAAATCCTGGTCTCAAAACAAAACCAAGAATGTTTATATGGGCATGTACTCTCAGAGCTGGAGGACAGAGAGGTGGATCACTGAGCAGGCAGACTAGCCTACTTGGTGAGCTCTGGGATAAAGGTATGTGTCACCATGCCTGATCACTTTTTTGTTTTTTTGAGACAGGGTCTCACTATGTAGCCCAAGCTGGCCTTGAACTCATGATCCTCTAACCTCAGCCTCCCAAGTTTCAGGATTACAGGCATAATCTTAAACTCATAAATGGAATGTCCAGCGCTGTGTACTGGTCACAAGGCCAGCTCGGTCTAGGGCCGAGTTGCCCCATTCTCAGCTGCAGTCAGGGTCACCCCGGGTGTGGTCAGCAGCACTGCAAATTACCTTCCTTTGTTCGGTCTACCTACGTTTTCAATTGCTGGGTTCTGCTGTTACTGTTGTTGAATGGTTAACACATTTACACTGTTTCAAAAACACCAACTAATATTTAAAAATGGGGCCATGAGATGTCTTTAGCAGTTAAAGGTTCCCGTCACCAAGCCTGATGATCTGAGTTGCAACCCCAAGGATCCACATGGTCTTCTACAAGTTGTCCTCTGACCTCCACCCATGAGCTCTTGCACATCTCTCTTATTCAGTAAATAATATAGCGCCCACATGAAGGAATGTGGTCTGTACCTTTGCATCCTGCTGCGAACAGTCCCTGTCCTATGTAAACGTACGCTCTGCTATTAAGCAAGGCTGCAAGGGAAACCTGGAATGATGCCATTTTGTACCCACGCAGAGGGGTCTGGGAGAGTCCCAAAGTGACATCGCTTGTCAAAGGGGCAGAAACCGTGCAGTCTCCTGAGGAGCATCTCTCTCTTCCCCACAATCACTGCCCTCACTTTAGCTGCAGACGGTGGCACCTCACGGAGGGATGGCTGCTCAGACCATTACCCTGCTTCCTTGTTGCAAAGACAAGATTTTTAATAAAACTGTTTGCTTCTCCTGTTTCTAGGTTAGTAAGTTCAAAGGCATGGGGAAAGAGCGTGTGAAACGTCGCCAAGAACATTTCTGCTGTTTAAATCCGGTTTCCTGACATCTCCAGAATCAGTTAATCCCTCCAAAGATATTGTTTGGAGGCCGTTTTTTTCTTTTTCCCCGATTAACTGATGTTCTGATCCTGGCTGTGGAATGCTAAGCAAAGGATTTAATCCCCTCTCCTCATCTATAAAGTAAACAGTTAGGACTATATATTTCTTCTGGGTCTTCCCAACTCAGAATTCCCTCAAATCAAGTTTTCACCAGCCTCACACAGCTTCAGTACGTTTTTCAGTCTAGACCCAAGGTCACAGCTTTGTCCCTTTCCCTGAACTTTCCTCTCAGCTCCCACTCCCAGTCATTACTGTGGGGCCTGGGTAGCAGGGGATCAACCATTGTGTACCTGATGGAAATGCTGATGGAGATCAATACACAGACCACGGAGACCAAAATGAGGAAGCGCTGAGTTAGATCTGAGATAGCAGACAGGATCTGACGTAAACACTGCGCCCTCTTCTAGCCTCCCCGCACTGAGCAGACATGGCGCACAGCACATGCAGGCAAACACTCTCACACATAAAATAGTCTTCGAAAGAGTATGAGTGTGTTAGAACGGGCTGAAGACCTCAGACTAGCCTACTTGGTGAGTTCCAGTACAAGACCTTGTCTCAAAAAATGGTGGGTGGCGCCTGAGGAACACTATCCAACATTGTCCTCCAACCTCCATCGGCATTTGCACACATATGCATGTGTACCTGCACATACAAGTGCACCCCACATGCACACATAGTCATACAACGGGCTATCAATTGGCAATGAAGAAGGACAAAGTTCCAATGCACCAACAACATGGATAAGTCTCAAAATAACAAGGAAAAGGTGAAGAGTAAACACAGGCCGGAGGGAGGTCCCATGCTGGTTCCCAGCACCAAATGGAAAACCAGTGTATGCTGTGTGACTGCATTCTACAATGCTCTGCATCAGGCGTAACCATCTGCAGTGATAAAAATCAGAGCAGTCAGTGCCTGTGGGTGAGAACAGAGGCCTCCCTTCAAAGGGCTCTCGGGAACTTCCTGTGATAGAAATTCTCTTCTCACTGAACACTACCTGGGTACACACGGTTCCTGAATCAGCAGGATTTTTACTACTTTTTCATTAGAGTAGAAGGACAGGCAGTGAAGACATCTCGTGTGTGTTGTGTGCTTGTGTGTGCAGGTGTGAGCACCCATGCATGTGAGTGAAGCCAGAGGAGGACACGGGTGTCCTGCTCTCACTCTGCCATATACTCCTTTGAGACGCAGTCTCTCACTGAATCTAGAGCAAGGCTGACAGACGACAAGACCCTCCTGTCTCTAGAGTTCAGAGCACACATCCGCACGTGGCTTTTCTGTGGCTGCTGTGGTGTGAACTCAGGTCCTCATGCTTATAAAACAAGTGCTCTTACGCCGGGTCACCTCCCCAGCCCCACATTAAAATCGTTAATGAGATGTCTTCATTTTACTGTATGTGGATTATACTTCATTAAGATTTGGTATTTTTGTTTGTTTTTTGGAGGGTTTTCTTAGCCATGGAGATGGAATCCAGGGCCTTGCATACACTATACACTGAACTCCACCTCCAGCAGCGTTCATTTTAACAGGAAAGCAATTCTGGAGTCGGCGAGATGGCTCAAGGGGTAAAGAAGCTTGCTGCTAAGCCTGATGACCTGAGTTCAATCACCAGAATCTACATGGTAGAAGGAGAGAACCACCTCCTGTAATGGCCTCTATACATGTGCATATTCACACGCACACAATCAATTGATCGATACAGAAATATAAAAATATTGAAATGTCAATTTTTTTTTCCGAGACAGGGTTTCTCTGTGAAATAGTCCTGGCTGTTCTGGAACTCACTCTGTAGTTCAGGCTAGCCTTGAATTCACAGAGATCCACCTGCTTCTGCCTCCTAAGTGCTGGGATTAAAGGCGTGTGCCACCACTGCTCGGCTTAAAGGTCAAATTTAAAAAGGAAAAATTGTATTTTATAGTATTTTTTGTATTGTACAATATTTTCTTTTTTCGATTTATTTAATATATATGAGTGCTCTATCTGCATGTATGCCTTTATGCCAAAAGAGGGCATCAGAGTCTACTATAGATGGTTGTGAGCCACCATGCTAAGAACTGAACTCAGGGCCTCTGGAAGAGCAGCCAATGCTCTTAACCGCTGAGCCATCTCTCCAGCCCTGTATAATATTCTTATGGACCTTTTTAAAAATTATTATTTGTGGTTTTGATCAGAGATACAAAAATGGTTTAACTTAAATGGCTTTGAAGTATCTTTAACTACACAGCATGTCCAAGGAACGTACCTTGAATCTGAAATGAGAAGTGTAAGTTCCGGGCTCTTAGTTCACAATTAGGGAACAGACTTCAAGTCTAGTGTTCTGTACACTGTTTAAATAGAGGCAATAAAATCTACAAGCCATGGGGGCTGGAGAGATGGCTCAGAGGTTAAGAACACTGACTGCTCTTCCAGAGGTCCTGAGTTCAATTCCCAGCACCCACATGGTAGCTCACAACCATCTGTAATGAGATCTGGTGCCCTCTTCTGGCCTGCAGAAATACATGCTGTATACATGATAAATAAATAAATCTTTAAAAAAAAAAAAAGCAGCTCATTCAACTGTCAGAATGCTCAGAAGAAATAGCTCAAATCACTGTGTAAAACTGAAAGACTGACAGCTTTCAACTAGGGAGAAGCTTAGCAGCTAAAGTCTGGTCACATCCACCCAACACCGAGGGAAGAGCTGGTAAGAGCCAGAGAGCAGTTCTAGCCCAGCCTCCAAACAAACAAACAACAACAACAACAAAAAAAAAAAAAAACCCAACAGGACAAATAAAGAACAAAAGGGGGAATCGGGAGTAGTAGCACACACCTGTAGTACCAGCACTCGGGAGGCAGGGGCAGATGGAGCTGTGAGTTCAAAACCAGTGTAATCTACAGAGAGTTCCAGGACAGCCAGGGCTACATAGAGAGACCCTGTCTCAAAATCAACATTTAAAAAAAAAAGTTTGGGGTTGGGGATCTAGCTCAGTGGTAGAGCGCTTGCCTAGCAAGTGCAAGGCCCTGGGTTTGGTCCTCAGCTCCCCCCCCCAAAAAAAAAAGTTAAGGAGGCTGAAACAACGGGAGAAGGGGAAAAGAAGCGATGAACTAGGATTAGAGAGACTTGAGGGAAGAAGTGCAAAGGTCAGACCTTGGTTGGATATTGATCTGAACAATGAGAAAACAGATGTGTCGTGTAAGTGGGAGAGAGCTAGCGAAGACAGTGGCTTTTCTGACTGTGGCAATGTTATTATGGTTGGGTTTTTTTTTTTT